CCCCCCCCCCCCCCCCCCCCCCCCATCCACACACACACGCACGTATGTCTCTCCTCTGCGAGGCCATGTAATTCCAAAAACACAGCTAATCAACAAAGATGGTGTCATTCATTTTCTTCTCCTTGTTTATGTGTAATTAGTGTAAATTGTTTTGTTGCTGGAGAACAGTTAGCAGGGAAAACACACATGCTTTTATAGCTGGCACAGCATGGCGGCATTCAGTGGCTCCCCGCTAAGGCAGTACTTTTTTTTAAAAATTCGCTGCCGAGGCGTACCGGCTGCAGCTCCTGTTTCTCTCTTTCCACTCGACCCCTTCGCTCGTCTCACCCACTCTCAGTGAGGATTACCGAGACCCTCTTTCACTTCTACGTTCTCCGGCCCTCTCTCTTTGTGTTCTCACTGTCTCTCTCTCTCTCTCCCTCGTCTTTTGACTCACTTTCTTTTGGCTTTATCTGCGTATTGTAATGTTGGACGCCAGTTTTGTTCTTTTTTTTTTCTTGCTCTATTTTGATGTTGTGGCTATACCTGCGTGGGCGTAGGTGCACTTCTTCTGTCTTCCTGTCTGTTTTTTCTGCCTCAGCTCGGAGCTCTAGGCGATGGAAAATGGTCTAAACTGCTGTGACTGCTGAGGGTGAAGTGGAGAAGGGCGGAGTTACATCGGAGCTTATAAAAACAGTGCCTCTGCATCTAACCCCTATTTCTGAAATGGGCCTCAGAAAACATCGAGACTGAAAGCTTGGGTTGCTTTGGATTCCCCAGAGGCACCTGTTCCCTTTCACAGAGCTTTGCTGTCGCACACGGGTACACACACACACACACACACACACACACACACACACACACACACACACACACACACAAACTCAGCTTGTGCGTCATTGGTGAGAAGGAGGAAACGCTGACGACTGTTTGGTGCATTATTGGTCTGTCTCGAACGATTTTCTCCTGCACATATAACTCTATGTCCAGTGATATTTCCTCAACACAGCAGTAAAGCAAGGAACAGGGCAGCACAGACTGAGGGTGTCACTGCAGTGATTGTTGTTCTTCTTTGGTGTTTGCTAGTCTTAATTAGACCAAATAACATTCAAGCCCCATGAAAGTTGAGATTCTAATGAGGCGAACTGTTGATCCCACCTTAGTAGGAGGGTCTCTTTTTTTTGCCTCTTGAACCCTAACATCTTCATGGCCCTTTAGGAATACATTTTCTCTTATTTGGGTGCTTTGAATAGTTTTTAAATGTATTCAACATGCATACTTTCTGGCTCTGCCACGTTTTTTTAATTTCATTTTCTGTCTTTTCGTGTTTGCTACTGGAGCGAGTATGACAGAGGTACACTCATCGACATTGGAGAACAAAGCGTAGTGATTGGATAAAGTTCAGCGGACCTTGAGACAATCACCGCCCACGGCATCCTCCTGTTAGACCAAGCCGGGACCAAACGCCACCGAAAGCGAAGGCGAGAGCCGAGATGGAAGCTAAGCTAACCCAGCTAAGACCTAAGGCTACTCCACTCCAGCCTACTCCTGGCTAATGTCCTGGCACTGTTGTGCCCTCAAGCTCCTCCTGGGGGGTCCCATGCTGGGTCTACCACAGGGTCTCCTCCCAGTTACCTGGAACACTAACCTGACCACTAAAAAGCCCGTATGTTGATTATTTGAAGTGACTGTACTGTAACCACCTCACAGTTGATTAATACTAATTCTATCGATCTCCATCTCTCCTCTTTGTGTTTTCCAGGACTACAAAGCGGGCCTGGCTATTGCTGAGGTGGAACTGACGGCCGCCAACATTAGAGACGGGGACCGCCGGGGCTTTGAAATCAACACACCCTTCAAGAACTTCTGGTACGTTTGGGTTCGGCCCCTCCTCCCACAACAAAGAGCTATCCATGCTAAAGTGTGTGTGGTATATGGTGGCGTCTTTAATTCTGTGTGAGAGAGAGAGAGACAACACATCTAAAAGATGAATGTTAAATGAAGGATTCTCTCTTTGAATGCACACCCCTCGGACTGATGTATTCAACAGGTGCAGGTGGTACACCTCTGCAGGTTCATTTATATTCCTTCCTTAAATACATCTCGCTGCATTATCGTCTCATTTGAGCCATTCTGTCACAGACACGCCCTTCACGTACACTAAGCCTCATGCTGTACAGTGTTTTAATCTCAACAATCGTATCTCATAAAGCATCCGTATTCACACCGGAAAGACGAGGGCAAACATTCCGGTTAATCTGCTCTTATACATGTAAGGTATTAAGCGTCTCATAATGCGATAAGAGTTTGGGGTACGAAAGAATATTCACATAGTCCTATCAGTTTGGCCTTTAAAAAAAGAAAAGAACCGGGGCTTTGTCTTCTTACCTGGAGAGTTGGAGGATTAATTCAAATCAGATTGTTTTCAAGGCTTTAAAACACTTGAACTTTAAAACTTATCTGCCGCCTTTTCTTCTCGCTGCTCGGTGCAAATATAAAACCATTACATGTTTCAAAGTTAAAATCAGCCACATTGAAAATATAGAAGCTCAAGTGGGCCAAAAAAGAGGAAATTATCAACAGTAGAACAAAAGTCCTTACTTGTTAATGTGAACCGAATTGCAACAAATTAACTGTCATCCTGCATCATCAGAGCTTCAGGGACATGGGAGGGAAAATGAAATTCATACCCAGTGTTGTGATTATGTTACTGTGTGGCCGTGACATGTCAGTGACCTTTTCTCGATAGAAACTGCACAGAGTGCACAGAGACGGCCATTCCACTTCTGAATGATCAGGGACATGTCTGTCCCGTGCGTTAGTTGACACCTGACCTGCTTCTGTTTGCTTTGAGTCGGTGTGAAAGCTGTCCAAACATCTGGATCAAGTTTGTCACTATCTTACAGCATAATGAGCCTTATCAAACCTATAGTGGATGAGTTTGCTAAACTTTGTCCCCCCCCCTCCCCCCTAGGTTCAGTTTTTTTCACACAGGAAAAAACAAGAAACACTTGCAGCCCACGCGACTTCATGTTCACAGCGCCTGGCTTTGTTTGTGAAGTGCTGTAAAGTTGGTGTGAATGTCCTTTGTAACTCCAGGTGTGAAAGTGACCTCGGTGTCACGCACAAAAAAATACTACTGATACGGTTAGTGCTTTGAAATTATTTAGCGAGATTCACTTTCACTTAAAAACCCAATTTATAAATTGTGAAAGCACAAAGTCGGGACTCGGCTCTAATGAGACAAAGACAATCTTCTCGTTAGCTTGTAGTGGCTGCGTGTTGGTAGCACTCTGTGCTCTCTTGTCGTACCTGGACACAAATCTCTAATTATTGATTAGGATTTTTTTGAAACAACATCTCCCCTGGGTGCTCCATGCAGCAGGTACCTGTGCCTCTGTAGGGTCTCTGAGGGCCAACAATCAATAAGCGCACCGCTTTGTTTGTGCACTAATGGCCTGTTTTTAGAATACAACCGTCACAGCTGCCTGGACAAAGCACGCCTTGTTTGTTTGTGTACCGCTTGTTCACTATTTTATCTTTCTCTTTTACCCCTTCCCATCGTGTAAGGATCCCCCCCCAATCCATTCCTCTACCTGTCTGTTGTATGTGCGATCGATCTGTTTGTGTCAGCTCCCTCAATGGTCCCGTCGTTTGGCAGCTTCGTTAATGCGTTGGACGTAATTGCCATTTTGTGTGGAACAAAAAAAGAAGAAAAAGAGAGACGTGGAATTAAAATGAGCTCAGGTCTCCTGAATTGTTTTGATGAGGTGATTGCTGAAAGGGTTTTATTGTGTGTGTGTGTGTGTGTGGATCAAATCGATTGGTAGCCCTGGGAGCGTTCCCCTACCTGCTCAAGGTGGGGATTAGTGAGAAACTCATCTAATCACTTTAAGCTGTGGAGACTCACTTTGGCTTTGCTATTGTTTTTTTTTTTTTTGCTGCTGTTCAATGGACAGAGCGTTCAGCCCGCTGTGCTAGATGCAATAGCAGAACTTCTTTTTTCTTTTTTCTTTTTTTTTGGAGCCGAGAGAATGACAATGAGGCGGAGAGGAGTGCAAAGACACTGAAGTTTGAAGAAAAGAGAAACATCGTGCTGTTGATCAGAAAGCACCTCTGCTGCAGATAAATGCCTAGCTCAAGAGCATATTGGAGAAAATCCACGTTTGTTTTGTGTTTATCTGGTGTGTGTGTCGAAAAACTCCGACCGTTTCGCAATTGTCATTTTTCAACCTTTAAGATGGAAAATATTTCCTTCTGAAAGCTCAGGTCTTTGGAGTGGGAAGGGCATTGATTTTGAAGGACATGTTGCTGTTTAGTTTTTCAAATTTCATTTTCTAAAGATGTGAGCAGCACAAACACACCGCTTTCATTCAGTTCATTGTATCAAGGCGGCAGCAGGAAACCACAAACTGCATCTGTATTGTTTAGCGTTTGGATATTTCTTCTCCGCTTGTATGGACGGGGTTCGGTCAGTTGTGTCTTTCTCATGTCCAGGACAAGATGATCTCCAAAGCCCCCCCCCCAGCAGATTATCTAAAGGTTAGATCCAGGGCCCTGTACAGGAGGAAGGTTTGGGGCGACCAATAACTCTTTCAACATACCTACATGTGGGGATTATTTAACTCCCTTTGATGCCCTCTCTCTAAAATTGAAAGAAAAAGTGGTTTAATATATTTCTAAGTACCCTGTTCACCCCAAAACTACCTCTACTCTACTTCTGTCTTTATTAGTACACTCTTGCTATCGGCTGGTATCGGCCTGAAAGGAGCAGGCTCTAGGATTTAGTGGCATCTAGTGGTGACGTTGCATCTTGCAACCAACTGAATTCCTCTTTGCTCACCCCTCCAAAACTCTCTAATGAAACCATAGTTATGACTAGCATATATATACAGTTTTCCTTTTTCCTACACACCTTTCCTTTAAATGTTGGTATCGTATCCATAATTAGATTTTCTGTCAATATTAGGTCAACTGTGGAACTAAAGAGCATCCACATCCTGCTCTGTCTAGGGTACTTAAGCAGTTTAGTATTGTAAATAATGGTCAAAATCCAAGCAACAAAGGCTGAGATACACAGATGTTTAGTCTCTGTCATGGGCCGATGTCCTAAAACTCTGGATCCTACATTACCCATAATGCAACCAGGTTATCAGTTATGATGACTTCTTCAGGGTCATTTCTCAGGCTTTAGAAAGTTCCTTCAGAGCTCTGAAGACATCGTGCAATTATTTTCAGAGGCTATATTTTTGGTCGTAGAGATTGATGGAACTTATTTTTTAAAGTTGGATTGGAGTAACTTGTTTCTTTTTTGCCCCTCACCATGAACTGATTGGCTACTTTTCTTACCTGTGGGCGGAGCCAGACTAGCCGTTTCCCTTTGTCTGCAGTGTTTATGCTAAGCTAAGCTAAGCATCTCCTGGCTTTTATTTATCTGACAGATATGAGACGATATCGATCTTCTCCTCTCAATGAGTGTTTAAACTATGAGTAAGCTATTTCTTGAAACAATCAGTAAATAGAGACTCTTGCTATGTATTCTTCATATCTGTGTAGAAATGTATTGCATCATATCGGCTTGGAGAAATACGAGAGCCTTTTAATTGTAGTGTGAGTCGGGGAAGGAGCTGACAGATGACTGTGAGGGTGATTTACATATTTCAACAACATATGAGATTGAAAGTTGTAATTTTTGTGAAAGGAAGTGCTTGCAAATATCTTAGTTAGAACTACAGTTGGGGAAACAATTTCATTATTGTTGTAAAACCGCCTTTCTTTTCATAATTCTTGTATTTGCTATTTTCCTCTTTACCACCTGTTGTCCTTAGAGCTGTAGTTCTTTTAGCGGGCTCACCTGAGACCGGCTTTCACTTCATGTCTAAAACTCGGTGGCCTGGGACCCTCCACACACTCTGGTGCTGACTCTTGTCCTCCCTTTGCTCCTTTTGTGGGGTTCGGAGGTCATATTGGAGTTCAGCACACGATGTGAGCAGTCATGCCTCTCCACGGTTCCCGAACAGAGTCCGGTGGGCCCGGAACAGCTGAACCCAATCAACCTATCGATCTGTGCTTCTGTGCTGGGTTACCTGGCAAGGCGGGCCTGGTGCACATCCTCTGCTTGCGGCAAAAGTCCCCCCCCCCCCCCCCCCCCCCATCTTCTGTCTGACTTTACACTGGTTGCTAGGTTGCCATGGAGACCAGTGGTCCCATTTATCCTTTCAAAGTGCTGCTTTCAGTCAAGCTAGTACTCTCTCTCTGTCTGTCTGTCTGTCTCTCTCTCTCTCTCTCTCTGTCTCTGTCTCTGTCTGTCTCTCTCTGTCTCTCTCTCGCTCTCTCTCTCTCTCTATGTCTCTCTGTCTGTGTCTCTGTGTCTGTCTTTTTCTCTGTTTTTCCTTCACAATTTTACATCTCTGTTGATCTTTCTGCCTGCATTCATCTCTTATCCTCACTCTCATTTGAAGGAACATTATAACAGCAGCAAACAACTATTTGATAAGTAAAGATATATTGGAGTAACGTACTGCTCTCCCCCTGGTTACCCCCCCTCAGGTAAACGCGTCTGGCTCTGTCAGCACTTTTACCGTAGTTTGCGCTTTTAGCACCGTTAGCTGTGAGCCGCCGGCTCGCTGTCCGCATGGTGAGACCTGTCGAGAGGCAATCCAAATGTTCCTAATCTTGGATCTTGCACCTTTTTTAGCTGACACACGCACACAGATTGCTTGTTACGTACACTTATACACTTATCTGATTTTGAGTTACTTATTGCATTCAGCAACTTCGTCAAAATTCACACACCGTCCTCTCCATCAGAAAACCTGTGCAAGTATCTTTTATAAGTGCTCATTTGACAGTAATGGAGATATGCCGTCATTCCTGTGTGTGTGTGTGTGTGTGTGTGTGTGTGTGTGTGTGTGTGTGTGTGTGTGTGTGTGTGTGTGTGTGTGCATAGATGGATTGAGAGACAGGTGAATGCTTGAAATAATCCCAATTTGGGAGCTATGACAGTTCAGGCAGCCACTGCCTGTGTGTGCTGTGTGTATATTTAGTTCATACCGAATATGAAATATGGCTGGTTTTACCTTCCTGGTTGCATCCCTTTAACGAGTAGATGATATGTAGCCAGTTCAACATGATTTAAAACACAACTACATGGTCAAAAGTAAGCTTAGTTACAGTACTCTTTAGGGAAAAACTTTGTTTCCGTAGTCGAGGTAGGGGAGCTCGATTTATTGGCAATGTAAAGTATATACGCGTCACTTGGTTTCTCGTTGGACTTCTACATGTGAATTGCTGTGACAGCAGGGCAGTCATTACACTTAACAATGCGTCCACATACTGCAGATGACTTTAACCGTTTTCTGACTTAAATTATACTCGTACAAAGTAGCCTCTATAATTATGAACAAGTTGGATTTCCGCCATTTCCTGCAGTGACAATTCAGACAAAGCCTTCCTCTCGATGCAAATGTGGAAACAGGCTTCTGTATCACCGCTAAATCTGAGCAATTATACGTGCGTGTGACCACAACAGTGCACGGTTTACAATGCAGAGCTCTCGATGCAAGTCCTGATGGAACGAGCATGTTTCAACATGGTTATTTTAAACGTATATATTGAAGCTGGAAATGTGTTTATGGTCCATTTCCATCACCGTTTCTAATATAGTGTAACATAGAAATAATATCCTGGAAAAAAAATGTCCTGCATTAGCAGTTTATAGATTTTGGTGGTGCAAGGTGAGACGGATTGATTTACCTTCCTCGTCACCCCCCCTCTTCCCACTCCCCTATCAGTTTCACCAAATCTATCGCAGTCACACACGGGCATACACACTCAGCGACTCCCCAAAACTACTCCAAATACTGCACCCCCCCCCCCCCTCGTAACCCTGCCAAGCAATACTATGCTGTTTAATTGCTCTCTCAAATCAAATCAATAACTGTGAGGCATGTGGTGGTGGCAAAAAAAAATCAATTGTTGCAGCTTCACGGCCGAGTCAGAACGCGAGAAGGAGGAGTGGATTGAAGCGGTCCAGGAATCGATCGCCGAGACACTCTCTGACTATGAAGTGGCGGAGAAGATCTGGTTCAACGAGGCCAACAGGAGCTGCGCCGACTGTCGCGCCCCGCGACCGGAGTGGGCGTCCGTCAATCTGGGCGTGGTCGTCTGCAAAAAGTGTGCAGGTAAGGGTCACACATACACCGCTCTATTCTTGGCTTCCATATTTAGTCTCTGGCTGACGCACCCAAGCTGGATGCAGGCGTACTCTTTAATATACAACATATTCTTACAGTGCACTAAAAGAAAACACGTATAACACCTGCCAATTAGGGGTCATGAAACATGGTTTTGTTACAGCAGCTGGTTTGTATGAATCCAGATTGTGATTTTGTTTTTTATTGATAAAAATAATTGGCATTAGTAGTTTTAATGATATATTATAAGCTGCTTAGAGCTAGTGTTGAGATGTTAAATCCTTTATTATTATGTTATTTATATAGCTGTCAAAACATCTCCATCAAACAACCAGATCTATTCAAGTTTCCCGCCTAAACTACATTACAGTTTGAAAACATGATGCTATAATTTACAAAAAAATGTAATTTGCCCAATACTCATTTACACCGAACAGACCATGAACGCATCATAAAGTAACTGAATGTAACACCCGTACGTTAGTTGTTAGCGTTGCTGTTAGCGCTGCTGCTAGCGTGGCTAACCTTCCTCCAGTCAATTTCAGGGATTTGTTGTTCATAGTGTATCAGGGATTGGCGACTAGAAAGCTTTAATGCCGGTTTACTGATCACTTCTTTTTACAGAACATCATCCGTTACACCACTACTCAACACAAAGCATTGTGTGAGTGGGAAGCCAGCAGCATTATGGTAGTTTTTAAAGACCCCCGAGTTGACGCCAGATAAGCCAGAGTGGTTTGCCAGATGACAAACAAGACACCACTTCATTTTAGTAGTCAGTCATTTTCTAATTATTTCCTTGGAACTTTCCTGGAGAAAAAAAATGTAATTTGCCACTAATTATAGGAAAAATACAGACAAAGTTAATTGTGTGTGTTGATTATTTATTACTTGGAACTTAGTTCTCCATGAACGCTTTATTGTGAGCGTGCTTGTAAACTAATTCCACACGAACGTTCCGTTGACCTGTTGTGCACTGGCTAGAACCTCACACCATTTAACTCATTGGAATTGATTATCATTAAGTTTGCTCCTTGAACCATGTGACTGCACTATTTTACTGTTAATTAATACACATTTTTGCAGCAAAGTTGCCAGGAAAGAATAATTAAGACTCCATGCTGCATTCATATCATACGGGTGGTCCGTTTGTTTGTGTGAGTCGGTGCTCTCACCCAGAAGCTCTTTTTGGAATAAGTTCTCAGGTGGTAAGCCACTTATGGGAGTTGGCATCTGGCCTCTGGACTCTCTAATCTATTTGGCAATACTGGATGGCTTAGATGAAATGACAACAAAGATTAAGCCACGGGCAAGAACTTGAGGGATCCCAAACTGCCTCTTGACCCGCTAAACATGATTAGAGAGAAGCAGCAGCAGCAGCAGCCATGCCCACTGTGGAGGGATACCTGGTGGGTTTGAGGTTTTTCCACGCTCCCATACCCCCCGTCCCCCCCCACAGATCTTCTCTAGGCCTGAGATTTCTCCCGGAGTCATACATCTTAATGCGATTCTCCACCTCACCTCTGCAAAGCCCATGTAATTGGTACGCATCAGATATCCTACATCCCCTTTTCAAACACCTTAAATGATTTCATTTGCGGGCGTGTTTAATATTACATTTTGTCGACACGCTGGGCGATATCTGCAACGAGGAAGCCGTTCTCGCACCGTGCTCTCCTCAAATTAGAGGACGGTCCGTTCGGAATACCGATGACTGCTCGTGCTTTTAATTAGCACTCCCGTGTCACGGACAATAAAGAGAAATGCTGAACAAGAGGAAGAGGGAAAGGAGTAATGAGAAGACTAATGGTAGAAAATGATTCCAGATTGGCTCTCCTCTTTTTATGCCAAGACGGAATTAATTTTAATAGTCTTTAGCTTCACTCTCTGATGCTTCATGTACTGCAATAGTGCGCCTTTGTTTACGCAGACCCATTATTTTCAGTTTCATAAAACAAATATAATTGTGTTTATTACGAATATTAGCATACAGATGAATCTGATCAAGAACAATCATATAAAAAAAAAAAAAGGCATATTTATTTTTTTAGATTACTTTAAGAGACACACGTTCGTTTTCTGCTCATTTGCGTTTGGCCCATTTCTTTTCTTCCCGTTCTAGCAGAAGGTGAGAACACAAATAGAAAGATGTCATTACTGGAAACGTATTGAATGACATCACTACAGTGTCTCCTTGCAGAGGGAACGAGTCCTGCTAATAATCAGCTACTTTAAAAATAATCTCAGTAAAAATAGTGTCAGTATCACTTTGTAGAAACTGAAAACCAGTGAGGTTTTCATTAAGTTCACATGCCTAAAGTGTTAATAAATAGTTGCCTATCACACATCCAGCACATCCATCTAGTTAAAATAAAAAAGTGAGTGTTGCAGCATTCATTATTGTCTGACATAAGCCCTTGTCCCAACCTCGAAACTGGCCAAATCCACATTCCTCAGTAACTGAAGCCGTCCCTCTACATTCTCCTTTGTGTTCCCTCTCTTTGCCCTTTCTCCCACAATGCAACCCGACCAACCAGCGGGGAATTGCCATTGCTCCAAGAGATTGAGAGGCCCCTCTCACCCACCACACGTTATTGCAACAAAACTCCTCCAAACTAGGGTGCAACTTGTGGACTCGTCTGCTGGCAACAGTTGCCATGGTAACGCACAAACGCAGTGCCCATTGCTTTGTTTCCTTTCTGACTCGAGTGGAAAATGCCACACAAGTACAGGGGGGGGTTGGGGAAGTGCTCCACGAACTGTCACCGAGAAAGTCTTTAATTGGGGGTGAAAACCTGAGCGGCTGTGATGGGAATGCCCTTTTTTATGTGTGTGTTGCTTTGGCTCCATCAGAAAGATGAAGACATTTACAACGGGGCTATTTACGTATATGTGAAGATCTCACCGTGTACCCGGTGGCGCATGCACACTTTTGTTTTCAGGTTCATTACCCTTACACAAGTGAAACTGGTCCTGTGGCGCGTAAAGGCTCAGAGGACGGAGCGCGGCTGTAGAAATGCAGCAGCAGGCGGCGGCCCGGAGAGAAATATTTTCACTCCTTCACAGGCCAAAGTGACAGAATCGCCCCTCTTTGGGCTTTATTTGTCACGCTGGACTCGTGTGGTCTCAGAGGCAGTGAGAATTCCTCTCTCCCTTCAATGGGACACGCTAATGCAGCCACTGGGCTTTCAGCGATGGGTCCAATACATTGGCTGTTGGCTATTGGCTGAGTCCATCGCCGGTTATTTTCATCGAAATAATGAATTAATAAATACTAAAAAATTAACTGTAAATTCAAAGCGTTTGTGACAAGGAGCTGGCAGTTGGAGTCGCTATATGGACACTCAGCTTTAGTGATTGCTGTCCGATCAATCACAAGTCAATTCATAAATCATATTTAAGAACTAGACACACAACTGTTTGTGCTGTCAATTGACCAACGAATGAATCGGTTGAAACCAGCAGATCCAATCAGTTTGTTCTGCTCAGTATAGAAATATTGAACACCAGTATTCCTGAAATAGGTGGAGTTAACAGTTATCAAAAAGATATTTCCTCGTTTTTTCAATATAATAATAAAAATACAGATCATTGAATGGTTTCTGGCGTCTGTGCTCTCTAGATCTGTGTCAAGACGGCTTTTCTCACAACATTCTAACTCGCAGCTGCTCTACTTGAGCACAGTAATGAGCTCATGCCAAATCTAAATCTAAAGTTATCCGGCTTCACACACAGGACAATAATTCGCATTCACACATACAGCGTTTTCCTTTCTCATGTATTATGCATGTTTGGCTCCGTCTTTGGCCACGAGCAACCCTAGAAGCCTCTCGTTCACCCAAATAAACAGGCCGACCCACAAACACAATGAATTACTCATGATTCATTAGCAATTAATGGCCCTCGTTCTGCGCTTTCATTTCCAATTAGGAGTGCTGAGGGGACTAAATATGTCTGCTGTGAGTGAGAGAGCGGGCTTCCAGTCAAGCTCAGTTTCTCCGGCTTGTAACTGCCCGTTTATTGTTTACTCCATCGCCATCACTGACATCGGCGTGTGGAGATCTCTGTTCATATATGTACATGTTATTTTCATTTATTTTTCTTTTTTCCAGGAACTAAATGCGTAGCCCTGACAGCTGTGCATTTTTGAATACATCTAATTGAGAAAAGGCTTCATAAGCCCGAGGGTTAGTATGAACTTCTGAGCTCACGTGTGTCTTCCTGTGTACCAGGGCAACATCGCTCCCTCGGCCCGTGTATCTCCAAAGTGCGGAGCTTGAAGTTGGACAGCAGCATCTGGAGCAATGAGCTGGTGGAGGTACGCACTGATTTCTCTTATGAGCGGGAGCTAATTAAGTTCTCACTTGATGTGAAAGTCAGTGTCTTAAAATGAACTGCTTCTGCTTCGCTTCAAAGGATTTATAAACTTAAGTCAAACACACAGTGAAGACCTGAAAAACTAATCGACAAGATTTGTTGCCAAGACAAACGGTACAACGATTTGGCGCTTGGCAGATGTTTATTTCAAACCCTACTAACAGGTCTACAAATGATTCTCCCCTGTAATTGTCCTCTTTCCATTTTCCTTAACCCCCTCAGCTCTTCCTGGAGGTGGGGAACAAGAACGCTAACAGTTTCTGGGCGGCTAATCTTCCCCTGGAGGAGGAAGTCCACAGCGGGGCTTCGGTGGAGCAGCGCGCCTCGTTCATCCGCAGGAAGTACAGGGAGAGGAAGTACCGGAGGGTGCTGGAGGGCTTTCAGGACCTGGAGCAGCTCAACCAGGTACAATCCTAATAAAGACACTTCAAACCAGATGTGGTACAAGTAGCACCAACGGTCCACTAGATCTACACCTCCCGAACTCCCTCACTGCCTTGACGAGTTATCCTCTACATGAAAGCCGGGGCTTGTGTCTCATTGACTTTAAGTCTTGTATTTAGCGAGTCTGTTTGTGAGCTGATCGCCCAAGACACACGTTTATAAGACAAGTGTAAGCAACCACCGAGACTCAAACCACTTGCTGAGGTGGTCTGGTACTCATTTGGCAACATAACTTTTGCAGTGTAAGCACTAATGCGTCATGATGTATCATCAAAGCCACGGCTTCCCTTTTGTCTGCCTATTTCTCCTCTCCAGTTCTCAAATTTCGTAAGCTAGCTTTGTCCATAAAGTATGACAATATTAATACATACTGTATATCAGGAGTGTATCTGTAATGCTGTGATTTCCTCTTCTTTTAACTTTTAGGCAGAGTATGGCGGCCATTGTGGTTCATATCCAACATATCTTTTATTCCTGTATGTGTTAGCCAGCATGCAATTGGCTTGCAACAAACAACCAGCATATCTTTAGATGTACTTGCTGCTTTAACATTGTTTGCATGCCATACTTCAGCTCTAGCCGCAACGTGTGAACAAGTAAAACATCAAGAACTATCTCTGTTCTAGACATTTAAAATATTTTGTATACCTCTAGTTACTTCAATATTTTTCTGTACGGGTTGGAGCAAAGTGCAGCAGAAGTCCATCAGCCTGCAGTAATCAGTGGGTACCTACAATAGCTCCATCGTGGTACATGGCATACTCCATTTGCTAAATCCAACATGTCTGAACATGTCTATATTTTTCTGACCTTTTGACAATCAGTAGAACAGCGCCATGAGTCGGATCGATCTTTGCGAGCATGTTGACGCTGAGGCCTTCTCTTCTAGTTTGTGGTTTAGGGTTTATTACTGCAGCAAAAAAAGAAAAACGCCTGTTGTTTTTTTGGCTTCCCCTAAAAGAGAGGGTCTTAAAAAGCACTGAGCCTCCAAACAGCTAAGTTTCCACCTGCGTCAGCATTTACGCAGATCAGCCCCCATGTATTGTTTTCTTGTGTAGAAAGAGAGGGATGGAGAGTGAGAGAGAGCGAGAGAGAGAGGGATGGAGACGTAGAGGGAGAAGGAATGAAGGGGGGAGGTAAGGAAGAGATATACCAGCTAGCTAAGTGGAAAAGTGGATTAGGATCCACAACAGAAACGCTTGGGTTGGTTTTATTGCGGCTTTGCTGGCCTTTTTGCGTGTGTGTGCGTATTTGGGAGTGTGTGATGTGTACATGCGTGTGAACATGTGTGTGCTGCACCACTAAGGATGTGTGAATTTGCTGTTATAGTGTGAGTTTTTTTTGCAGGAGATGAAGTGTGACAGCCACAGAGAGAGTGTGGCTGCCTAAAAGGGTTTGGGCAATGGAGGTGTGTGTGTGTGTGTGTGTGTGTGTGTGTGTGTGTGTGTGTGTGTG